AAACCCCGATGTTTCGATTCGAAACGACGATTACAATTTCATTATCACTTTAGTCTTCAGCATCTCGAGGCCCAGCCTTGGAGAGGTATTCTTCGTACTCCTCCCAGCTCATGGTAGGGAACTCAGTGGGCCGAGTAATGGGTACGAAACTAACACCTCGCTTCTCAAACTCCTCCAGTCTCGCCCTCGTCCTCTCCTTGCTCTTGTTGACGCTATAGATCCTCACCCTATGTGCGCTACTTGTGACGTGCAAACCCCAGTTCCACGTATTCCTCACTTCAGTCGGTTGCGTATCTACAATATGTAAGTATGTCATCTTTGGTCATGAAAGCTTTCAGGCAATATAGCTGGAGAACCCGATATCTCCAGAAATAAACATTCGACTTACTGCGAAAAGGTTAGCTTGACTGTGACAGAATCCCCGATAATATAAGGGTATTAGAAGGAAAAGGGACAAAAAGTGAGATACTTCGGCACATACCTTAGGCTATTGTCCCAACATCGAACCACGAGCTCAATCCACCCCTCCACATCACAGGGAACCTGCATCTGCCACGTTCGCCAGGCGAATTTGTGCTTGGAGCTCAGATTTTCAACCGGGACCATATACCATGAGAATCCTCCATCGGCGCTAACTTCTACTCTCTCGGGCCATCGGCCACCTCCTGAGTATGCCCATCCTTTGACTGCAATCTTTCCTTCATGTATCACCACCTGTTTATTCCAGGGGGACATCTACAGCAGTTAGTAGCTTACAAAGAAAAGTGAGTTAGGTAACTTCAAATTACTTACGATGGCGCTGCTGACAGGCATCTCTTGTATCTGTATACCATCTGTCCAACGCTGATTATGCTTGCCTACCTGCTGGTTGAAGTACAAGTACTCTCGGCTCTGTACCGGCGCCAGCGTAGGTTCACGAATTGCCGTGATCCGGTAAAGCCACTTGACGCTCCTTGCGCCGATGTAGCCCATAATGACGGCACGAACTGGGGCGCCGTGGATCTTGGGTAGTGGCTCGCCATTCATCTCCCATACTAGCATGACTTCATTTGCTTTGACCTTGGAATATGGTACGCTCACAGCGTAGTTCATGACCTCGTTCATCTTGAAATAGGTGTCGGCGCCAACAAGTTCAAGATGCTTGCCGCCGTCGACGAGGCCTCCGCAGTACTTGATCACCTTCTTCAGGGAGATGCCGACGTATCGCGCTGTTCCAATGGCGCCTTCGGCCCAGGGAGCATTGATCATCTCATCTCCCTCGCCAGCGTAGAGCGCTATCTGTTCGATGCGGCGAGTACCACTACATTGAATGGTCACTAGTCTCTCCATACGAGGGAACCGGCTTTCGTCTTGCAAGTCCGCTAACGTGAGCTTCTTGGGCTCTTTGACAAGACCCTCAAGCCGCAGAAACCAAGCGGACGGTTCAATTGAAGGGATCCTGTTCGTAGTCAGCATGAGACCCCTTTCCGTCAACTTTAGTTGGGAACTTGCCCGCCATGGTTTCGGACAAAATGGAGAGGATTTGGCGTGATGGGTTTCTCAGTGACCAGCCTTTTCGGTGGCTCTCCATTGTACGGGAACTGTAAGAGATGTAGCATGTTCGGGTCCTTCTCTCGCAGAACAGTGGCCCACGATTCTTCAGGAACACTCCTCAGACGACCGCCAACTTGAAATCAAGAGTCAGTAAATACCTTTCTAGGGGAAGCCTGTAGTGGTTCCAGGATTATGCAGTGTTCCTTTGATTCGGCTCAAGCCATAATAGGGGACGTTGCGTCCCAGTGTTGATCAACATGGGAAATAGGTGATTATCAAGATTACTCACTGGCGCGATGCCATTCCTTCCAGCGAACGCCTGAGATCATATAGGTTAGTTTCCGATGAGGATGCAGATGAGTTAGACTCACCTTCAAGTACTGGATTAGTGCCAGGAATCGGTTCAAGCTGGAATTCCGGAGGGGGCGGAAACTTGTGCGATATCAAGATTTCATGAGCCACCTTCTTCTTTTCGGGATATTCCTCCCATTCGACGTACCTATGCCCAAGCTGTTAGGGGATATATGTAACAGTGCCAATGATTTCTTACCCGTCCCAGCCAGATAATTCATCTTTAGCGAGCGAATCATCGAACTTAGGTTCAAGAGAGGTAGCATCTGGTTTTTCCTGGCCAAAAAGGTCTTCCTGCGCATTTGGAGCCCTTGTCTGATCCACCAGGTGAAGTTCTACACCTGCTAGACCTTGTTCGATTCTCCACTCATCCTCCGGCTACGACAGCGTGTCAGTAGAAGAGGTATTCACAAGACGATAACACGTACCTGAATGCTATGAACAGGCTCTCGTATAAGAATATCTCCCTGCATTTTGCACTGCTCGTCCGTTGTCTTCTGGAATACCGTAAACGCCTTCCAGAGTAGTTGAGGAGAGTTTTAAAGTTGGCTAGTGAGGGGCAGAGCAGCGGGAGGCCAATATATCATCATGATCACATGCAGACGCACGGGGTTCTACATCAGAAGCTATAAATGCTACGATCCTGTTATTGCTGGTAATAATGACATGGGGGGTTAAGTTATAAGATAAACTTACATTACAGCTTCATGCACGTTATTAGACGAACAAGTAGGCGCGTGTTTCTTGGGGGCATATGCATCCAAATGCAGCCAATTGAGCTATGCCATGTTTTTTTTTCCTGGCCTCCCATTTCGATGCCGACAAAACTCCCGTGTCCGCAATGGAGAGGCCGTTGGGAGAACCCGTTATGACACGGGATAGTGGGGGCGATATGAGATATCTTACTGGACTAAATCAATTGAATGACGATCCGACTAAAGTGATGATCAATAATCTCTATCGCCAGCTATCTACACCGCACCATTCTCTTTGGAGGAACGTCAGCATCGTATTATGCAAGACGCCCCATAACGCCATAGATGCAGGTTTAGACCTTTTGATGTTTCTTTGTGTGAAAAGCTAGAGATGCTATGCCTCGCTTTTGCTGACGTCATAAGTCTAACTTCCCATGAAGAAATCCTACTGTTTCCGAATTCCCGAGCAGTGTTGTGTTGAAGGCAAACTTTATACAGCATCATGCAGCAAAACGAACAGCACTAATCGCCTCCCCTGTCCAGGCTGTCCAATTTGCGTCAACTCGCGGCCATTCTCGATAAGAGATACCTAGGTAGACTGGCTGGATTACTCAGGTGCATCAACAACTGCCCCGGTTGTTCCCGGCATGTAGCAAGCCGCCACTCCGCGCTCTTGGCTTTACTTCTTTCTCTAGCGTGCGAAAAAGTTTAGATGCTGCTCAGTAAGCCCCCCTTCCTAGCACCAACCAAAAAGTATAGCTCCATGCCTAATATTTGATGGAGCTGAAATTCTCGTCTTTTGTCGCTCACATTCGAAATGTCCGATGCTAGAAAAGCCGGCACCTCCTATACAAGCGAGACGACAAGACCGTATATGAGTGGGTTCCCGACTTCTGATTCCTGGTTAGGGTCTCGCATCACTGGGATTTTGGAAACCGGAATTATGTCTGATATCCGTCCAAATTTTTCTTAGTAAAATATCTTCATGGAGAACGCGCAATCCAAAACAGCAGACAAATACTGAATAACTTACAGACAAGAAAATGGTATGCTATATATACCGTTGTTACCCACCCAGAAATATCAGCGTCATTTCTTGTGACGGTTATGAGAGCCACTGTCACTTTTAGCTGGCGCAATGGCATAGCATGGCATGGCATGGCCGGGCAATCTCTCCATAAGGGCTTTCGTGTTGTACTAGCATGGCGTCTTGTCACTTGTGCCCTCACAAATCCCTTCAATTAGAGCAGGGCGTCTTTCGGATCATTGAACTTCAGGAGTACATCTTACTTTTTAGCCAGCGTAAACCTATTAGAGGTCTTGACGTCAGGCCATCCTTATTGATATAAGCCGTGCAGAGAGGTCGAAGTAGGGCTCATATGGGACAGATAATGACCATTGTTGTTACGCAAGGAACCCCAATGTTCCATATTAAGTGTTCCTTGTTACTCATATACAAATCAGTTTCTTTGTTTTATAGCAGTAACATCATGACACTTGATAATAGCCAGTGCCATCAGTGAGGGGAATTTAAGACAGCTGTTTCCTGACCTTATTAATTATTCATCTGTCTCCAAACTATTGCTGTAACATACAATTTTTGAGAGACATGCCCTATCACCCTGCCTGCTATCTTATTCTGACAATTAGCTCGCCCTCTCAAATCTCCCCTTGCGCGTCATCCCTCTCCGTATATTGGCCCTAATTCAGCACGCCCACTGCACCTATTCTCTCCGCTCCCAGAGCGGCTTCGGGCTCTCTTGGCGGTTCGTCTGGAGGAGGTGGCCTAGACAAACCACATCCCTCATCCGTTCATGCAGCAAGACAGTAGAAACTGTTATCTTTCTTTAAACAATAAGAATTAGGCTAACCTAGATTCATTCCGGTGTTTTGGTAATTTTTTACCCTATCACATGTGGTGTATGCTTGGTAGAATATCTAGAACGCATCAGGACATGTCTCCATTAAATCATGTCATGAGGAATCATTATTCATCTTGTCCGACTCTACAATGGTTGGGAGAACCGTTAATTTTACGCAACTATGAAAGCCTCGCATACTTTAGCATTAGCCTCTTATTAGCAAGTTTCAATCAGCTTCTCTTGCCATGCATATTATGAGTAGTTGGGAAAAAGGATGTTGAGGAAAAACTGATGGAACCTTGTAGATGTCAGCGCCGGAGCATGAGGGGCTAATTAGTGATATGCAGTTCTGTTTTATGTCTAGGGCTGCATATTTGCGTTAGAGACCTAGACATGATAAAGAACAATAGACATATTGTGTGTGTATTGTCTACCTCTTTCGTGCCACTGTGTTATCTATTGGAAACTGAAAGCAAACATGTGCTGCTGCCTAGCAACAAATCATAGAGAAGGGAAAGAAGTTTGCTTAAGTATTATAATTACAAGCATCTCTCCCATCGCCCCACTGGTGTAGTGGTTAGCACACCTGACAGCTTGTCTTTCCGGTGTCCCTGGGCACTTCTGTGTTGGGAATAAATCCGACATGATCATTAGGAGTTCTTGGTTCGATCCCAAGGCGGGGCTCATCTATTTTTATTTTTATTTTATTTTTTCAGTTTAAAAGTTAACTATATATTGGTTAAATCATACAGGTTACGTATAAGCAGATCAAGATGTAGTTTATAATAAGAACTTAATATAAGAACTTGCATGTCTGAAAAACTAACACCTTTTTATCCTTGAAATCAGTGGCTGGCTAACTTAGGGTCAAGAGGCAGATCAGAGAAAATAAGCCTGAGGCATCAGCTTAAGACCAACAATAATGTATGCATAATTAATTTCACTATCTACCTAGGTATATAGGCCTTGCGCATCTGCTTGAAAACAATAGGTCGATACTGCTAGGAAAAGCTTCATAGCAACCTGTCTAAAAAGTACCTAAATACCTTACGTATCGTCCTAGCAACCTCTAGCTACCTAAGAAGCTTGTTTACACCTTACGCGTCTGCTTCAACACAATAACTCAATTTTACTTAGATTTATCCCAACCATTAATTATAACCGTTGTTCCATCCCCCTCCCCCTTACTAATTTATTGTTACTTTGGTTTCCTCTACTTGCACAAACATAAATCCATCTTTTGTTCGGATTTTCTGATAACTCCATACTAGCAATTGCAGTCTTCTTGTCTCCTTACTGCCGGTTCAGTACTTCAGTTTCATGCTCAGTAAGCACAGCTTCAACTTTGCTCAGGTTTCCCGGCTCCAATCCCAGACTCTAGGGGTTGGTTACATCTTTCCGCTTCCTTACTGCTTGCTTGGTTAGTACTCGAGTCTCCTAGCCAACTGACATCACTCACCCAGCTCTGCTTGGATGTCTCTGTCCTCCAATTTAAGCAGTTTTCCCTTTGCTTTTCCCTCGGTATTTAGTTTGTACTCTGATTCCCTGCACCACCACCTGCACGAATTTGCACCTGAGTTTCATATACAAATATCATGAGTACAATCCCTCCGACCATACAATTTCCTGTATCCTAATTTCCCCCAGTGTCTAAACTTTCTCAGTGCCCCCTCCATCAGCATGCCTAGCAGCCAGGAAGCCGGCGGGGCCTCGCTCGCGGGAGAGAAGGATGATGTCCCGAGCGACGAGCGGAAGCTGTACCGCCGCACTCTAAAGCGCAAGAGAAACTCCAAGGCGAGAATCCAGATGAGCCTGAAAAGCACGAGAGAAAAATAGCAAAGGCAAAGAGACGAGTAATCAACGCAAAAATCATGAACGCGCAAGAATTGGCGCAGTCATTAGCGCAGAACATGCCGACCGCCACCGACCAACAAATCCCGGACAGCTTCACCTGCGTCCACTGCGGGACTAATGTCCAGAAAGCAGACAACAACCCCTGGGCTTGCTAGTGTATGTGATCAACCGATCTCTCGCTCTTCCACAGAACAAACACGGGCTAACTTTGGTCAACCACAGGGCACACAGGGAGTGTTGTAGATGCCCCTCTCATGAAACCGACCAACAGATTCCGCCCAGACGAGCTAGAGGAATGCAGCTCTGTAAAGAAATAGAGCTGTTGCTAGGAGCTGGAGGGCGACCTCCCAGGCCGTTACCATTTCTACCCCAGAGACGGCTGCAAGTATGCAAAATCAAGCACATGCCCAATCTGGTGGCATGAACCGTGGCCCGGTGCTGCCCCTGCACTGGGGAATCTCAAGGTGCTCATCCATTTGGATGAGCAAGAACAAGCATTCGAGGATAAGGAGAAAAGGGAGAAGGACGAGAAAAAGAAGAACAATGTCGATGAGAAGAATGACGATGACGATGGCAACTCCTCTGATGGCGAAGACGAGGACGAGGACGGGGACAATGACAACGGCAAAGAGAAGGACAATAACGAAGAAAATGATAAAGCCAAGAAAGATTAAGAAAGAAGAGGATGCCTTGGGTGGATCTCTACATAAGACTGTACGACAAGATTGAGGCCTTGAAGTTATACTAAGTGGAATAATACCTTGAAGGGTCCTTGAATGTATACACAATGTCAGAATACACGCTTCCAGGCATTTTGATGCACATGAATGAACCCACCGATTCTGCGTTGAGTGGTATTTGGCTTATTGAAAATCGTCATTGGGGACGTTTTTGATTGAGCAAGGCTAATTCAATCTGCTGTCCATCCCACACTAGCCCTGCTGCCCTGCGATTATGAGCAGCTCAACCAGCCTCCTGCAATATCATTCGTTGTGGTTGACTACATGCTGATACACCCGGGTTATTTCCAAGTAATTAATTAGCCTATATATATCATTTATCGTGTAGACACTAAGAACAGGTGGCTGCCTACCGAAATTTGAGCCGGTACTATTCGCTACACCACGAAAGTTGGAGTTGTAATAGTTAAAAGTACTAACTAAGTTGTGTCATACCTAGAGTTTAGAAAGTCTCGTTAACGACATAATTGAAGCCAAATTGTATAGAAAGGTGTTAGATGTAGGATAATTCCCTGCATAAGAGCGTGGAGGTTATCGTGTTGAAAGTGGTGGTGACTGATGGTAGCGGGTGGCATGGTGGTTGCAGAAATCGCGTAATGGGGATCCGGCAGTTAGTTACTAGGCTTGTAACCTGTTAGATCCCGTACCAAAGCCAATCCAATAATCAGTCTGATGCTTCTCACAATGTCTTTTCGGGCGTTGCACTAGTTATTATCAGAACTCGGCAAGAATTGACCTACAATTTCCCTTCTTCTTCAAGGAGATCTATGGGAGAAAATTATCACTCCACTGTCACCCGCAGTTTAGGTTGGCAGTTAACTGATGGCTACTTTCAATGTTTTATGATGTCACTGCTGTAAAATAAATAAAGAAAATTGTACTGGGTCTATGAACTTACAAGGCTCATGAGCCTATGCTTGATGCCGCGGAGATAAATTGTGATGTAAGAATATAGACTTTTTCTAGCTGGCATAAACAAAATGCTGAACACCATCGCATATCACCAAATTAACACAAAAAGGGCTGCTAGGAGATGAGATACGCAACTACAGTCATACTTGGCCGAGTAGAGCAAGATACAGATACCCAGAAAAGAGGGGATAGAGAACAATGCCATTTTGTGCACAGCGGTGGCTTTGTTGACGCAGGCCTGGCATTGGAACACACAACTGGATATCCTGGGAGCGCTGCGTAGGACATACATGTATATCAGAAATCTTTCGCCACCGCTTGATAATACTCTAGGTGTATTTAGTAAATATACTTAATACAGGAAAATGGGACATCAAACTATCTGGGTATAACGCCTAGCTTAATAAACACTGTTTTACCACAATTCTAGAGATCCGCCTGTTAATCATAGTCCTGATTTACCTGCTTGCTGAGCAATATGTGCTCTTTGAGATCGTGTGACTTGCAGCTGAGTGCTTTTCAAGATGTTGCTAATTGTTTCATCTCTATCCTTTAATCCCACACATACTTGAACTTTATAGCGATGCTCTCTACGATATAAATCGATCGTTTTCAAGTCAGACGCCAACTGTGTGATATCCTTTTGAACATCAATGGCTGCTGGCAAGGGCCAATATCCGCACCAGGCAAGTGATCTGACAATAGTTCCCAAAATAGCAGGCTCGCATACTTGACAGAAAGATTCGGATCCGTCGAGGGAGGCACTGCGCTTCTCTAGTAATTTTGCGATGACACTACCGTAGAGTGCCAGGAGACTCTCGATGCCTCTTAGTCGCGCGGCTTTCATTTGATCTTCTCGGGGGTTAGTACAAAATAGGCAATTGAAACAATGTGGGTATAAGTACCATGAAGTTCTGGTGGCTCCAGTGAAGAGTTGAAGAGCGTAACAATTTCTTTCCCAGTATTATTCTGCAAGTCGCCATTGGCATCAACAGAGCAGTGTAGAGCTAGGTCAATTGAGGCCGTTTCAAAGAGCTTCCGATCTCCCATCTCCCAAGCGATCCATGATAACCGCTCTAGATCAGAGACAACAGGCTTAGTTCCCTCGCGTCTCCATGCTTTGTGCTTGTCCTTGAGGGCCTTGAGCCAGGAGGAGGCCCAGGGTCGTAAAATCGCAGTGAGATTGTATTTATCAGTCAATACAGCAAGCTGATAAAAATCCTCTAGATTGATGAGATCTGTGGCTCGTGGTACAGACTCATAGCGGCTGTGAATGATGTTCAACACAGTCGCCATGGCCTTTGGATTATCGTCGGGTAGCTCTACTACCCAATCTGAGGCATTCGAAGCGCAAGGAGGTTTCGATTCGGCAAATCCACCGTAAAGGAGCGTTTTCCAGACAGGAGATGCTCTGGATAATGTTTTGGAGCAGACCACGTAGATAACCGGGAGCTCGTGTTGATGATCGGATGCCCTATCGCAACGCCTACTATCACCACCACCCTGCGAGACATCTTCTAGTAGGCACTTCGTCTCTCCGACTTTAAGAGAAAGATCGCCATCAGGATCGATAACCACTCGACGTGGGTCGCATGAGCAAGTGTTGGCAAGGGACCCGGAATTTGGAGAGGCAGCGGACTCGTCGTTGCTAGAACCCATGGATGATCGTGTTCGCCTTGCCTTTTTTTTCCTTTTTTCTTTTTTTAATAATTTTGTTTTATCTTTTTTGCTAGCACTTCAAGATGTTGCTTGTATTTGGTGTGTGTATCTGGGTGGATTTTGAGCTTATGGTAAGTCGAGTTCGCGTATTATTGCTATAAAAATTTGAATTTACTGTGATTGTTTCGCATCCGCGATAGTCAGAAGTGTTTGGTTTTCTCGTCGATTTCGATGGTTAAGCTGTGAGAAAACGGATAATTGGCTGAGGTAGTTATACACTTATATAGTATGTATATTACGGTATCTGATGGTACTAGAGCATTCGAGAGCTAATTCTGATAAAGGTGTTTGGGAATGAGTCTAGGGTTTTTCTTTGTATCAAATGCCCTACGTATTGTTACTCGTCAGATACAACAGAAAACATATTAATAAATGATAGAATGAATGAGTTACGAGGTAATTACGAAGTATATTTCTTAGAGCAAAGAATCTAGACGCGTCGAGCCCTGACTGCCCTGC